GATGAGACACTTACCAGCAACCACCTGCATGCACTGGGCTATATGTGGTGGATTTCCCCTCATGCAACAGCCCCTCGAGGGCCACTGATGCCATCCGAGTCGTGCTCCTGGTGGCTCTGAAGCTTGACCAGGACCCTCAGCAGGTGGGGAAGCTAGTATCTGGCCATCAGTTCAGCTCTGGACAAGGCCCACACAGGCCTCCATTCACCCTGAACGGGCGGGGTAAGTGAGACTTCCAAGTCCAGGACGGAGCTTGGCTTACTGAGTCACAACCACACGGCAGTGGTGTCTCCACGGTCACAGATAGCTGGCACCTGTACTGGGTCTTCCACAGCCACATCCCCTCCTGGCAGGTTCCCACCTCAGCCCAGCCTCCCAGTCACTCAACATTATGTCACTTCTTCACAGAGATCCTGGGGGGCACATCCCTGCTGACTTAATCCTCAGCTCCCTCTGGGGTAGACTTGTTCACAGAACATTGGCCTCAGGAGCCCCTGATTGGCTGTCAATGAGCCTGTGGCAGGGACTGTTGTCACACCTAACTACTGAACACATGGTGAGACCTCCGTGCTCCTTTCACAGGAGAACCTGCTTGTCACAACCCACTGGGTGGGACCCTGAGGGGCAAAGATGTGCCTAAGGAAGTGGTGCTCTCAAGGCCACAGTTACCAGGTGCCACCTAGAATCTGCCTTCTTCCTCCTCAGCCCTGGCACAGAATGCAGGGACTATCAATTCAGAGAGTGAGAGATACCAGTATAACTTCTCACAACCCTGGAGAGGTGGGAAGCGTCTTGGAATCTCTGTGACCCATAGCAGAGTATCCAAGAGTGCTGAGGGCCCCAACCTGGCCTTAGCATCACCTTGTGCCTCTCATCTCCATACCCTGAGCCTCCAGGGCTGTGTTCTCTCACACACTGTCCCCTCAGCCTGCTGTGCTTTCTCCCTCTTAATCACAAGGCCCGGTTCTGCCTGTCCACCGATAAGCTACCACTTCTTCCTGAGAGTGGGCTCTGCCTTCCAGGGTTAGGATTTAGACGCTGGGCTCACAGCCTCCTGATTTACCTGGAAGCTAATGGGGCACAGTAGGTTCTAGGGGGTGGAACTGGTGAGGATCGTCCCCTCATGAACATCTCCACGATTCCTTGCCTGGTGCAAGCATCTCTGAACAGTGGGCTAAAAATGCCCATCTCTGTAAACCCCAAGTGTCACTCAGATGAATATCAACTTGAGTTCTCGCTTTTCTCTATTCACCACCTTCCTGGAGACCTCAAAGAACAACCGCTCCTGGGTCCACACCTCTTCAGTCACAGATATGCAATAAGTCAGGGAGTGCTAGAGTCATCAATGCTTTGGAGGGCACCCCCTTGGTTGCTGGAATGTTCCAACTCCAGCTGGTACCCCTGCGGATGAGCGAGAGCCAGCATGTCATAAGGCATCCTGAGCTCTCTCAGGGCAGCATCTGCACTGGAAGCTGCAGCAGCAGCCCGTGGGCGTCAGTCCGTAGGGGTCCTCTCCCACATAACTCTAGCTCAGAGCTCACACAGGGCCTGGCTCTTAGAAGCATTTCCTTGGAGTGTTTATTGACCACCTGCAAAAACACTACAGAGCTCACCCATCTTCCCCAGAGTCCACCACATGACTTTAGAGGCTGTGAGAGCTTCCTTTCTAGAGGGCAGTTGAGCAGCTGGGACAGATGAGACCCAGAGCTGGCTATGTGGACACCCCTGCACTTGGAGAGGCCCCCACCTCACCCCAGGTCCTGATTTACTTGGGCATGGGTGAATTTTGCGGGCTTGGTTGAGCCAAGGAAATGGTATTTGTACAGCTCTGCTCTAAGCCAGGCACACATGCACACAGGGCCCAAGAGTGGTTCTGCCTGGGCTGCAAGGGCCACCGAGCTGGAGGATGGATGCCCTTCCCCACCCTGCTCCAGAATATCGCTCTTCCTGGGCTACAGCCTGCTCTGATTGGGGATGTAGCTCAGTGGTAGAGCATTTGATGGCAGTCTGCTCTGATCAAGCCAGCAAGGACATCAGCTCATCCGAATGGCCTCCTTATCAGAATACAGGGATGAAGTGGGAGGGTCCCTGCCTGCTGGGGGCCATGCCTGAGCCATGGCTGATCATTTTCATATCGATAACCCTGCAGATCACCCCAACCCTGACTGTGTAGCCATCTAAGACCCTCATGGTGGCACTATGCTTCCCTGGGACAAAAGAAACCTTGGAGACGACCCAGGTGCCCACCCCAAGAGAATGCAGATGTGCTGGGTGTTCAGACAAAGGAGCCCACTTGCCTCAGCAGTGATTAATGTGTAGGTACTCACAGCATCGGGAACGTGTGGCAGAGACAATGCCCCTGACAGAATCAAGTCACACAAGAATACACAGGTCCGATTCCATTTGCATGATGCTTTTAAGAAAAGCAGCAGGCCCAAACAGTTCATGGGGGGAGGTGGTTGTGGAGGCAGCTACATGCCACCAGGACTGGCCAGCAAAATGTCGTGGCAGTGTAGGAGATGGGACATGGGGGTGGGGGAGCTGTGGGAGTCAGGCACGTCTCAAGTTCCCTTAAATTCTTTCTTAACCGAAACATACAAGGTGCAAGCTTTGAGTGGGTCACATATTTTACCTTAAAGCTTTTTAAATGGGGAGGGGGGTGTTGAATGCTGTGGGCAGTTTGAAGAGAATTAATAGGATGGAGAGAGTTGGGGAGGGACAGCCTGAGACCTGGGAAGGCACACGCAGGCCCCCAAGGTCCCACTCTCATCTCCTCAAATGTGCTCGCACACTCTCAATGCTGTCACTAACCCACCCAAATACTTGTGCTCACACACAAAGGCCCCAGCATCCCAGGCAGGTCGACCCATCTGAGGACTCCCTCTCCCCAGCTGCCTCTGGCATGCATCGCTGTTTCAAGCTGTTGTCCCAGCTTGCTCCTAGCCAATCTTAACCCAACAAAGTCGCTAGTAGCACCCCTAGCCCTTGGGCAGCATGGCCCTTGTGCCCCCTCCTGTCCAGCTGCACTGTGACTGTCTTCTCCCTGCCCTGCTGGTTGCCCCAGCTGCCCCCAGCTCGGCCCATGTGAAGCCTCTGTGCCATCCTCCTCTCCTGTATGAAACCCTGCCACTGCCACTGGGCAGCCTCCTGCACAGCCCTATCCAGGGTGCCCAGCTCAGCATTCCTAGCCATTCTTAAGGATTTAAGGTATGTCTTCTCTGCTGCTAATGACAGACTGAGGAAATGTTTCCACATTGTTCTAGTTCCCTTTCTGTTGCGTGATAAAATATTAGTCAAAGCCACATGGGGGAGGAAAACGTTTATTTCAGCTCACAACTCCCATGGCACAATTTACATAGAGGGAAGTCGGGGAAGGAATGTAAGCTGAAACCATAAAAGAGTTCAGCTTGCTGGTTCACTTATCAGCTCATAGTCAGTTAGCTTTCTTGGGCAGCCCAGACCCACCTGCCTAGGGATGGTGCTGCCCGCAGTGGGCGGTGCCTTCCCACATCAATTACCAATAAAGACAGTTTCTCACAAACATGGCCACAGGCCAAACTGATCTGGTCAATTTTCAGGTGAGGCTTCCCCTTCCCAGCTGACTCAAGGTTGTGTGAAGCTGACAATAAAAACCAACCAGCAGTCTTTCCTGAGCTGTGTGGTCCATGGCCATATGCTTGCATGAATGGGCTGGAACCTTCCATGCTGTTCAGTGTTACAAGTCCTATAGAGAAGGGAAACCCCCAGAATTTGGGGTCAGGGCCAAGAGAGTCTGAGTCAGAGATACAGTGTGACAGAGGACAATATAGTCTGACCCAGGGAGTCTGACCAGCCTTCTTTTGCTCCAGACATGCACCTGGAGCATATACCCTGCCCTGCAGAAGTCTTTGATCCTAGTGTCCTACCTGTGGGCAGACAAGGAAGCCTCGAGTGAACACGTGAAGAATGGATGAAGTTCTGAGTGAATAATGTGTGTTGTTGACATAGGCACAGCCATGCCAAAGACCAGTGCCTCACACCCATGGAGTGGCAAAGCCTTCTTCTGGTCCAAGTATGTGTGCTTACAGATGATTGATCAGTGTGTGCAAAAACAAGCACCTGCAGCTTCCTCCTCCCAGGTGTTTAGAGCCCGACAATGCTCACCTAGAAAGACCTCCTACCAAGGCCAGCTGGTTGCAGTAGTTGCAGAAGTTGATACCACTCTGTCACAGTCCACACAGTCCACCTGACCCCAGCTTTTCTGCGGATGTGTCTGTTGTTTCTTTAGTATCTGTCCTTTCTTCATTCCCATAGCCTCAGTCACCTTTCTAGATCCAAGATGTGTGGGGTGCAGCACCCACCCCTTATCTCTGGCAGTATCCAGTCTCAGAGCCCTGATCAGGAATGACAATGGGTAAATCAGGAGGTGCCCTCAGGTGGCTCCAGTTCCATGGCCATGGGAGGGGTTGTGAGAAGCCCACCTGGCTGTATCCACCCTTGCCCTCCAAGGACCAGGAAGAACATGAGAAGTGACATCAAGTGTTTCAGGCTCCTTTGGTCAGAGCTTTGTGTCCCGCCCTGAGCTCATGTGTTGACCCTCCACCCATAATGCATTTGGGAGAGGGGTTCTCAGGATGGGTAGATAGGGCTTGCAATGGAAGGTAAGCTAGACACTGTGAGAACAACACATACACAGCAAGACGTGGCTCTAAAGCCAGGACACAAGTCACTACCTGGACAAGAAACTACTAGCTCCTTGACCTTGGTTTTCCAGCCACCTGGTGCGGTATGCTTGTTACAGACTGAGCTGACTGAGACATAACAGTCTTGTCCATCAGGCAGCTCACAAACCTTTATATAACATTGTGGAAAGCATACTTTATGTGGGAGAGAAAACAGTTAACGATCTGGGCACGTAATCCCTGATGCAACACTTTCAAATGTCACTTAGACAAGCACCCAAGCTCAGTTTCCCCATCTGTTAAGAAAGTTTCTGCCCCACAGCTTGGAAGGGAGGGGACATGAGCAGATCTTTATGAAGCTTCTGAATGGCAGCAGGCACTGAGCAATGTTCAGCCATGTTAGATGTTAATAGGACTGGCAGGTGCTTCATAGATCTTCAGTAGCGACTGGCTCTCACACGGATGGGCGTTTGCTGCTTGCTGTGTTGTTGAGAACCGTGAATGCTGGGGTAAGAGAGTTGTGTTTGGGCAGCAATCTACAGAGAAGAGACATCCAAGGTGGTGGGCTCGTGGATGGAAACCTCAGCTCTGACAGAGGCCTGGATGTCTTGGCCCAACTCAGAAAGTGAGAAGAACCTGGGTTTGCCTGGCACCAGAGGGTCGGGCCTGGACTCCTGCTGGAATCAGGCAGCAGTGCACCTGGTCAACTGTACACATGAAGAGGAGTGAGAGCCCTGCAGTTCCCAGACCCTGGAGCAGCTGCCAGCCTGGGGCCGCTGAAGCACAAGCCAGAAGAACAAGCCTCATGCCAGGATACCCCGAGAGGAACTCCAGGGCACAGGTGGTCTTGGGAGGAGCTGGGGAGGAGCAGACACTTGCAAACCTGTGAGTAATTTACTATGTTTATTAAGTGGTTATTGTAGGTTAAATAACCAACCCCAGCTTATTAAAAATCCTCCGGGATGATAATCGTCCGCGCGTTTGTTCGCACTGGCAGCAGAACTTGCCGTCCTGCTGGGAGCCGGTTTCCTTAATGACTCGGCAAGGGCCCTGTGCAGCAAGCGACTTCAGAAATCCTCATCTCCATCGCTTCTGACAGCTTTATGCTCCATAAATACTCAGAGATTATTAAAAACATATTTATTTAAGATGAACGGCTCTCCTGCAGATACAAATCTAAGCCGATAAGGCTCATAAGCCCACTTACAGTCATCGATGACAGTATTTAAACACACCAACAGCTTTGCTTAAATTCCAGGTGCCCACCTCTGAGAGGAGACCTTGGCCGGATCCCATCCTTGGGGACTCTAGGGCACAGAGGTCCGGTCAAGTCTTGGCAGGTAGAAACTGCCTCCTCCATAGCAGCTTCATCTTCATAGGCCTCTATTTCCTCATTTATACTACCAGCTTCGAGGACCGATGTTCTCAATCTGACAACAGTTGGAAGGCAAACCTCTTGGTCTGTTTGTAGGGACATACCATCAGAGACCCCCTCCTCTAGCAGACACTCCTGTAAATGCCACCTCTCCCCAGCCTGCCTTTCTTGACCGTCTCCATGTCTCTGAATTACGTGCTAACCGGGCTCTGTTCTATTTAGCGTCTGAGATTAGGAGACCTGGTGTGTCCAGGATGATGTGGCTGCAGATAGCTGACCCCTTCTCATTACAGATTACCAGATCCTGAAGGGGACTTCCTGTCTCCTCTCCTTGGACCAAGAACAACCCCTACCCCAAATCTGGTGTCTACTAGGTTGGTCCTTGTGCCTCCAAGCATTGAGCCAGGATGAGGTGGAGTTCAAGTTTAACTCTCATGTGTGACCAGAGGGCTGAGCCTGTGAAATGCAGCTTGTGTCCCACAGCCCGCCATGCACCAGGTCCAGGAGCATTTTAGACTTCAGTTCTGTTCCTGTCAGTCTCTTCAGTGACTATGGCTTTCCATAATGTGCCCAAAACTGTCAAGAGCATGTAGGATGGCTTTGCTGTTTTTCAAAACAACCTTTGCTATTTTAACCATTTCATCCTTAAGATGAAGACGTGTTAGGATAAGTTTGTTCGGTTCCTGTTTAAATCCTGTATTTTGACTGTGGTTACAGAGAGGCAGACAGGAATGGGGAGAAGCTCCGGTATGTGGGCTGCGGTAGCCACCCTAGCTCTTAGCATCTCCGGGAAGCTTCGTTTACTTTGAGTTATCTCTTGACATGTGCTTCCTCCACCCGCCCCTCCTCCCGAGGAAGCAGCCTGGATTGTGTGTGGGTCACGGTGTAGGTGTAAGCACAGTGTAGCTCTGCTGAAATGTATCCCCATTGACACAGACAGCACCCTGCATAATCCCCACCTCTGGCTTCTTCCCTACCCAGCCCCATTTACTGGTGAGGTCATTCTGTGTCCTCAGAGTTAGTTTGTCTCCTGTGACCAACTGCCCCAGTGTCAGTTTGTCCAGCCCCCAGCCTGAGCTGTCTGTCCGTAAACCCAGCGGACTCCATGGCATCCCCCTGCTACCCCTAAAAAGGCACTCCCAGAGGTATGTGTACTTCACTCTAACAATGAAGTGCCTCCTACCTGCCGCTGTTTTCTGCTGTTTCCCTCCCAAGGTCCCCAAGTCCAGCAAGCATCACTTTTTTTTTTTGAGACAGGATCTCTCGCTACATAGCCCTGCTTGTCCTTGAACTCACAGATATCTGCCTCTACATCCCTAGTGCTGGGATTAAAGATATGAGTCACCAAGCCTAGTCAGTGTCGCTGCTTGGGCAGAGTGACAGGTTGAGTGATCTCTGCCTCGGCTCTCTGCTTTTCTGACCCTCGTGAATTTCAGCCTGTGCCCAGGATTCCCTTCTGTAACCCTGGCATGTGACTTTCCTCTGGGGCTCTAGCTGATCTTCAGGAGCTGCCCTGTAAGTGTCTCCTAGTCAACCTCTGTGAGGTTGTCTTTGTCCCCAGCTCCCACCAGAGTGTGGGCTCTCAGTCACCAGCAGAGGCTGGGGCTGGCTGTGAAATAGGAGGTCACAAGTCCCTGCTGCAGACAGCCTTCCTTGTGTCAGCATGAAGGCAGCAAGTTGTCACTCCTTCCTCCACACCCGCCCCCCCACCCTCATACATCATAGACTGGCCACTTGGCTGTGGTTGTAATGGGATCAAGATCCATTCTGCTTGCTATCTACCTGTTCATCCATCCACCTGCCCACAATTCATCCATCTGTCTGTCCAGCCACCCATCCAACTGTTCACCTATCTACCATTCTTCCATTCACTCATCTACTCACCCACCCATCCACCTGACCCCAGGTTACCAATGCATTCACCTGCCCATCCCACACAACATCCATTACCATCTGTGGCTGCTTGTCAGGTGCCTGTTGCAGGATATACAGGTAAATAAGATGTAAGCACTTGTGCCTACGGGCACTCAATCCTGAAGCATCCAGCAGACAGTCCCCAAGATGTAACGTATAACAAGAAATATCAGGCCAGACATTGGTGGCGCAAGCCTTTAATCCCAGCACTCGGGAGGCAAAGGCAGGTGGATCTCTGTGAGTTCGAGACCAGCCTGGTCTACAGAGCTAGTTCCAGGACAGCCTCCAAAACAATACAGAGAAACCCTGTCTCGAAAAACCAAAAAAGAAAAAAGAAAAAAAAAGAAATATCAGCACCACAGAGGAAATCAAAGCAGACACGCAGGTCAGGGTGGGAGTAGGATTGAAACTTTAAACAGGTTGCCAAAAGAAGTTTCTTTGGGGATGCACTATGGAGTACAGGATGCTGATGAGCTGGGGAACAGGTAAAGTATACAAAGGTGAACCATGGGCACTCACACAGACCATGGTGAGGCCATGACCCTGCATAGCAGGCCATGCTCTGACTTCAGTGTGTCTGGAGATGGGAAGGCGGGGCAGGCAGGTTGGACAGTCAAGGTGAGGGATGGTTGTGGATGGAAGAGGAGGTGAGGAAGTGGGCGGGGTCTAGGTGCCCCATGAAGGTGAGCTTTGTCAGGGTGGGGCAAGAGAGGCAGCCGTCATAGATACTGAGTGCCTGGCTGAGGTGAGCTTAACTTAGGGGTGAGGGTAGAGGTGCCAGCCTAATTCCTAACAGGAGCTGCACTAACAGCAATGGGAGTCAGGGGAAAGCCATGTGTCAGGACTCCAGGCTAACAGAACATATTGGAAATAACATTGCAGTAGTTCTGATCCAAGGCCTCAAAATGCGTGCTTACATCCTCACCCTGGGAACTATGGGATCAGAATGGGAAGAAGCCCAGGATAGCTGCAGGAGCATAATACCTATGAGGAAGATTATATTATCCCAACCAAGACCCACATGGGAGTCAGACTCAAAGAACAGCTGAATTCATCAGCTCAAATGGCCAGCAGAGTGGAGAGCCCAGTGAACAATGGCTGTCCTGGTAGGTGCTTCGTTTAGTTTTATTTTTTGTCAGTTTTACACAGGTTAAAATCTTCTGGAAATAGAAAACCCAGTTGAGAAAATACCTCCCTCAGATTCCCTATAAGCATGTTTATAGGACATTTCTTTTCTTTCTTTTTTCTTTTTCTTTTCTTTTTTTCTTTCTTTTTTTATTTTTAGAGACAGGCTTTCTCTGTGTAGCTTTGTAGACCAGGCTGGCCTCGAACTCACAGAGATGTGCCTGCCTCTGCCTCCCGAGTGCTGGGATTAAAGGCGTGCACCACCAACGCCCAGCTACAAGACATTTCTTGATTAATTCAGGTGGATCTAGTCTACTGTGGGTGGCACCACCACCAGTCTGGTTGTCCTAAGTGCTGTAAGAAAGCAGGCTCAGCAAGCCATGGAGAAAAGCAGCACTTCTCTGCGGCTTCCGCATCCGTTCCTGCCTCCAGAGTTCCTGCTCTGATTTCCCTCAGTGACGGAGTGTGGCCCGAGAGCTGCAAGCTGAAATAAACCTTTTCTCTCCCATCTGCTTTTGGTCGTGGTGTTCTATCACAGCCATAGAAACCTAACTAAAACAGTGGGTGTGAGGCCATGAAGCATTCGAGGTGTTTGTTGACATGGAAAAGGCTGGCTGATACAGCCACCAATTTCACCGTTTTCTTAGCTTCAGAATGGCAACCTCCTTTCAGATTGTCAAGTCCCCTCTGTCTTATGTTACCTGGACTCCCTGTTACACTATGGCTGATTGTGTCTTTTCCAGGGAATACTGAAGTCCTGAGCCCTTTTGCATAGGCTCACAGCACATGCAGTGGACACATGCAACACTCACACACACACAGATATGTGTTCACATTCAGAGATCCACACACAAACCACAACCTCACACACATATATGCATTCATAGGTGCACATGCAAACACACACCAAATCCTTACACACAGATGAGCATATACACAGTGGTAAACAACCTTGTGTACAACCCTCATACAACCGCTATACACAAATCTGCATTTACTCACAGGCCTACACAGCACACGTTGGCGTGCCATTTCTGAGGCTTTTATAGTGACCTCATGGGAACACTTGTCTTCTGCTAAGACAGCAGGTATCCCCAAGAGAACCCAGCTGGCTGTTTGGGCTCAGCATGGATCTCCAGGGCCTGAGGGCATGAGAAGCTTCTTACTGGCTGCCTGGAGACCCTTTCTCACAGAATTTTTAAGTTGTTAGGTTAAGTGTTAAATACAGCAAGTCAGTATTAACCACTGGCTTAATAAGTCATGGTGAACTCAGCCCGTGATGGGAGGTTCTGATTCATCCTCACCTGAGACCTTGACCTCTGGATCCTGTTTTAGAACCCCGTCTGGCTGGGAATGGGTCAGGTCTCCAGGCTGTAGCCTCCATCCCTCAGAGCATCCCCCAGCTTCCTCCCATCAAGGCTGGTCTGGGGCCCTAGAACCTGCCTCCTTCCACCTGTCAGCTCCCTCTGAC